CTTTCTCCCTCCCCTCCCTCTTTCTCTCTCTCCCTCCCCTCCCTCGTTCTCTCTTCTCCCTCCCCTCCCTCTTTCTCTCTCTCCCCCTCCCCTCCCTCTTTCTCTCTCTCTCGCTCTGTGTTTTGGTGTGTATTTCACAGTGAAGGATACCCTCATCACCGCTCTGTCTTTGCATGTGCTGCCTTGTCCCTATTCCACTTCCTCCCCCCCACCTCCTCTCCTCTTCCGTCCTCTCTTCTCAGGAAGTTCTTTCTCTCACAAAGGTATACTCCCATTTGAGGTGTTGCTGTGTTGTCTCTACTTTCCTTCCCACCCGCCTGTGGCTGGAATTTGTTGAGGCGGTGATTGAACGTTCTTTAGTTTGTGGCATATGTTTCTGAGAGAGAATTTACAGATAAGAGAGAAGAGAAGAGGAGAGGGGATAGGAGAGGGAAGACAGGATAGAGGAGAGCAGAACGAGGAAAATATGGCATATTTGCTGACCGTAGTCCCATTGCTTGCATGCACTTGTGAGGGAATGGTGACGTGATCTGACCATTGATTGATCTGATTGATTTGATTGATTTGATTGATTGATTGATTGATTGATTGATTGATTGATTGTGTTGTAGAGCTGCAAACACACATCGATGACGAGTATGCCCACTGTGGTGAGGTCGACCCGAAGATTTTGATTACCACATCTCGCGATCCAAGCAGCAGATTAATACAATTTGTGAAGGTGACAGTGCTTTCCTCCCTCCCTCTTCCTCCCTCTTCCTCCCTCTTCCTCCCTCTTCCTCCCACTTCCTCCCTCCTTCTTCCCTCCTTCCTTCTTCCTTCTTCAATCTCATTTCTTCCAAAAAAGAAAAACTTCATTTCCTCCTTCCTCAATGAAAAAAGCTGATCTTAAATGACAACTACCTTTGCCATACATCGGCCGCAGGGAGGGTCCCAACTCATTTCCGAGGCCGAAATGAATCGTTGGCCGCCGATGAAATTTTTTAACAGCGGCCGCCGCTGGTCCCAGCCCCTGATGAATGCAATATAAATTCTATTCGCACTTTTCCCGACACTGAAATGTAGTGGCGGTTCAACCCGAGGACTTCCTGGAATCGGATCTGGACTTGATTGCAGTCAGATGCATTCTGGTCTAGACGTAATTGCTGTCAGATACATTGGCACGTTTTCTGTCTGTTGTCTTTCTTTCCGCCACCCGCGGACTTCCTGGAATCGGATCTGGACTTGATTGCAGTCAGATGCATTCAGGTCTAGACGTAATTGCTGTCGGATACATTTAGGAAAGTGCCAATGCCAGTATATGCCCTCATTCAAGGATCACCTCAGGCGATTGATCTAATAGTTTGACCGGTTAACAAATTAGCAGCAGAAAAAAAAAAAAAAAACCTTGCCGATCACTGATGTGATCATTTTCTGACTGTAATTGTTTTCTGAACTCAAATCGTTTTCGTGAATGCTGATTTTGATCATCAGCGAACAAACAAAAACTGATGTCCAATGTTATGACAAAGAGGTCGGCTAATTAATCTCTTCGGTTGATTCTCTTATCAATGTATACTTACCCATTAAGAGCAAACGGCAATTGGCCGTATAACGAGTCATTGACAACCAATCAACTGGGTTGATTGATTGGTCGGTCGGTCGGTTGCTCGCTCGCTCAGTGGGTCGGTCGGTCGGTCGGTCGGTTGGTCGGTCGGTCGTCAAATATGTGATTGTTGTCATCGTTATCGTTATTGTTATGGTTATCGACTCTTATATAAATAAAAGTGAGGTGAACATTTTGAGCGCAACCAAATCGCTTGTTGTTTTCTTCTTCTCAGATTTTGTTTACAACCTCGAAGTGCTGGGCTTGGGATTCGAACCCAGGCACACACCCTTCTTGAGCATCGTGTGTATCGCTGTAGCTGGTTACTGCCTTGGGTTCTGAAATCCCAGCCAGAGTACCATCTTCATCCCCCGAACACAATGCACAGCCATCATCATGGCTGTACCTGGTCAGGAACATTGTTTGTGTACTTTCACGATGAGCGTGCGCTGTGTTCGGTGGAAGACGGAGCTTGGCAGGGTTGCGAAAAGGGGTAGGGCCAGCCAGAGTAGAGTCGGGAAGCGCAGTTTGACAAAAACGAGAACGCACCCGATTCGTGTGGACACGGGCTTTCGGAAAACTTCATTTGGAGTTTGCATGCGCTCGTCTGCATGAATTTGTTGGAGTTCGCGTGCTGCCGCTGCTGCTGCTGCTGCGTGTTATGGATTATTATTTTCTGTGATTTTCACTGACTGGGGTGCACATACGTTTTTGCTGCCACTCTCTCTCACCTTCGATTTCATTGGCACGTTCGTTGCCAGGGTCAAGCCTGAATGCATCCGCCCAAGTTGTACAGATGCAAGATGTGTGATGCATGGGGATCACCGGTGGCATCGCGACGCTTCTACATCGTCTTCGTCTTTCGACGAGCTCTCACAAGCAATTGCTACGGCCTCCGGAGAGCAATCTGGCTGAACCTCCTCCTCCTCCTTCCCCTGTGCATGTGGAGCCGGACTGATTCTACCACGAAGAGTGGTGGAGGGGCCTCTCCAGAGGATCCCATTGTGTCGTTGCACAGCTACAGTTCGGCTGGCATGTACACGGCATAGCCTCTGCGCTGAACACTATGAAGGGATGGTCGCTGCCAGCCTCTGCCACGAAAACTGCGATCCTTTGTCTTGTGCTCATCCCCCCCCCCCACCCCTCTTTGATTACTTGCCCAGCATGCCACCGTGGCTTGACCTGCCGTGCTTGAATAACTGCGCGCGACGGCCATCGGTACTGCTGACGTGGCAGCAACATGCCATGCGTCGTCAATGTTTCCAGTACGATGTCATGGAAAGTAGTAGGTGTCTCTATTGCGTGGACAATTCCCCGGTGCCATCACCCACCACATCCACTCCTAGCATGTCCCACATGCGGTGTTGGGCATACACCTACTGCAACTGCAGATGGATTTGATTTCCTCCTTCCTTCCCAGACGAATGACAGACGCAGCAGCCTGAGGAGGAACATAGACTACCATACGAACCACCTACCTACAGAGTGCTGTACTGATATAGGATATCACCACGAGGGTGAGCTGTTGCAGACCAAATCCTGCAGCAGCGAAACACCCTGGCTTTAGATCAATCCCCTGTTGTCGCCTGACCCACAGAGAGGGAACAAATACTGAGGAAACTTTGCGATGACCCACCGGAGATTCAGCTAGCATGTGGTTTACACGCCTTGTGCGGTGAGGATTATGAAGGGGGATATCCCATGCGAGTTTTTGTCTTCATACGTATGATTACAGATGACAGTCGATACTGCACTCATGTACGGCACCCTGACATGTCATTTTCTCCTGTCCAATTTGTAGACGGGCGCTGGAACGGCGGGAATGCCTCGACAATTGCAGTCGGCGTGCCTCTGTGTTCCTAGCATGTAGAAGCCACCCAGGCCTGTGACGTAGGCGTACGCCATGCCATTTGATGCAGCAACTGCGATTGCGAGTTCTGGATGCGGTGCTTCCGCAGTCCACACCCGAACCGGTCCTGTCCGGTCTGTGGAGGCGGCTGCTTACCGTAGGTAACGACTGCGCTCCTCAATTCATCAAAATATTATACAACGCAAACCCGCTGACTGGCCTTACGTGCCATTCTAGGGTAGTAAATAGTCACCGCTAGGGTAGTAAATAGTCACACTGGAATGGCCTTACGTGCCATTCTAGGTTAGTCAGTCGTCACCACTGGAATGGCCTTACGTGCCATTCTAGGGACTGCTGGAATGGCCTTACATGCCATTCTAGGGGGGTGAATAGTCACCGCTGGAATGGCCTTACGTGCCATTCTAGGGTAGTAAATAGTCATTGCTGGAATGGCCTTACGTGCCATTCTAGGGTAGTAAATAGTCACTGCCATTCCAGCGGTGACTATCTATAACCTTGTCAGAATTCCACCTCCCATTTCCTTCCTCCCTCTTTTTGTGTGTACTATTATTAGTAAATCTATTATTAGTAAATGCATACGAATGACCGTCATTAAGAGAACAGACAAAGTATAGGTTGAAGATCTGAGGAAATATTCTTGAGGAAAAATGAACAGGAATATATACCTCCGCCTTTAGGCACCTCCTTTCGTAGTGTGGAAGTGGGCCGTTGTGGCACACGGGGAAGTGGGCAGCTCGCCCGCGCTCAACCACAATCAACGTGGCGAGCCTTGTACATCCGAGGCACGGTAGAAGGGGAGCTGCAAGAACAAATGAAAGGGGTACCCCAAAGAACGTAAAAGTGAACACATTTAAGAACGGAATTTAGACGCTTTTATTATACTCCATGTTGCTTGCTGCTATTGAGGTGAAACTGTTTCATTATTGGTTTGTCTCAACTCAAGGGCTTTCGTTGTCTGCAATAGGATTGAATATGCTTCGATTTTGCATCTACTCATCTGGGCGGAATAGGGGCTGTTGTGGTGAAAATTCAAACAACGCACACACACACACACACACACACACACACACACACACACACACACACACACACACACACACGCACGCACACGTACAC